CTCCTTTTCGTCTTTCCCTCCTTCTTCCCTTCTCGCTCTTTCTTTCCCTCCTTCTTTCCTTCTCTTTCTTTTCCTCTTTCCTTCCCTTTCTTTCATTGTTTCCTTCCTTCGTTCCTTCTCTCTACTCTCTTGCTCTCTTTCCTTCCTTCATTCCTCCTCCTGTGGCCCAACTCTAGTGAGAAGGGGTTTAAACTTTAAACCCCTTCTCTCTTTGCTCCCCCCCCCAGGGAAGGGAAGGGGAGGCTTTTGAATATGCCTCCCCCCTCCTTTTGCTTCCCCTTCTGACATCACTTCCAGTGATGTCAGGGGGTGTCGCATATGCTAATGAGCTATTATGCTAATAGCCTAGTAGCTCATTAGCATACCATATGTTAATGAGCTCCTGCAGCTCTTTTTCTAGGAAAAGACCCCCGAGTAGAATCATATTGTTTTCCTATATATGCATTCAGCATAACGTCTGCAAGTGTTTATGCACATATAATTTGCACACTGGTTGACACTTGCATGAGTTGATAAGTTTTACTGAGTAATGGGAAGAGGTAAGATCATCTTCTCCTGATCTGCCCCCTCCATGTTTTATCTATTAAACTTTATTTATTACAGTATGTATATCCCACCTTTCCATTGTGGCTCAAGGCAGCTTACAAGGAAACCATCTGTAATGCAATAAAACTTCATTAAGTCCCTGCAAGAAAATGGTGCACCTCAAACTCCATTAAAATCCATAGCACCTCCTAAAAGTTATACGGATGGTGCCTTTCTCACATCTTCAGCAAGCCTATTCCACAAGGAGGGGACCACTACTGAAAAGGAACACGATCTGGTAGATGCAGGCAGGCAGGCAACCTTGAGCAGGAAGATAGCCAGAAGCTGGCCACCAGTAGACTGTAATTGTCACACAAGCACATATGGGGAGTGACAGTCCTTCAGATGAATGAGCAGAGCTCCAGGCCACAAAGGGCCGTGGAGGTCATAACCAGCAGAATCAAACGGATGTAAATAATATTTATAATCCTGCAGTGCGGTAGGGACAGTTCCAGAGTGATGAGACTGTTTCAGGTCTCAATTAGAAATGAGTAGATCAGCCAGTCTGGAGTACTGACTCTTCTTCTCCTCAGCTGAAAGGCACTGGGAGAGTACAGTTTTCCAAAGACACTGTCCATCATGTTCCCTTACGCAGTGCAAGGGAATATCAAGCAGCTACTCTTGCAACATGCTACCCTTCTTTGCTATACTTTTAAGAGCGGTGTGACAACATAATAGTTTAGCAGGAAAAATACTCCCTAGCCTGGAGATGTGTGTTGGAGGAAAATGCTTTGCATGGTGTCAGGCTGCCGTTGAAGGTAGAAAACAGGACCCATATAAAAATAGTTGGCAACTTGAGTCGTGTGCTTTGTGCTCAAGTTAATATGAAATAAATTGCTGCTTGTTGAAAAGGTGGGTGGGAATGTACCATCTAATTAATTACAAGTAGTTATCTAATTAATGATAGTGACATTTAGTACATTATAAACCAGAGAAAAGAGACCATTGGGAAACAACGGAGGAGGCTGGCAAGGGAAGGCCAGGCTCCCGTGTTTTTAATAATTGGGCAGAAGAGGGAGTTTCGGTGGCATGGCTTCTCTCGGCCCCGCGTGCCAAGTTACACCTGCCAAAGTTTCCCTGTATCGTACCGTCTACTGCAGGCGTAAAGCCCCATCTCCTCAGTACATCATCACACAACTATTTCCTGGTTGTACAAGCCAAGGAGAGGTAAGCCTGTAAAGTTATGCTAGCGGATAAGATTCAAAGGCAGCGAGGCGGTAGATCAGCCCTTGTCATCAGCAGGCTGATGCCCAGAGCAGTAAAATTGGTATGCTTACAGTGAAAGCAGCTGAACTCAGCGTTCCAAGAGAGGATATGTAGGTTTCTCTGATGCACAGATTAAGTTAAAGACATGCTCCCCCCCCAATGTCTGATTAGCGCACGCGTGTGTGTGTATGTGTGTGAGTGTGTGTGTGTGTGATCCAGGTCACAGAT